GTGGAAAGATCAGTTTTCCGAAGATACTAGAGCTAATCCTGCGACATATTTATCCCACAAAGCTTTAACATTATAAACGGCATAAAATTGTGCATTAAAATATTATACTTTAAATTTAATTTAACAATAAACAAACACATTATTTTAAAAGAGTTGCATAGAAAATTTGCTGTTCTAAGCATGTGCCTAGGTTTACCCATTCATAAATCCACAAATGATTACCATGGATGTGCAAACACTAGCCAGTTATCCAGAACATGTTAGCTGGCTAGTGTTTCTACATTACTATTTTCATATTTTTATATATATAATCCCCCCCTCAAAAAACAATTGCCTGTCTATCTAAGAGTCTGAGAAGAACTTTAGCACTTAAATTGTACACAGAATTTTCCCAAAAATGGATAATCCTTAATTGATTAGGCTCAACTTGAAGCTCTGTGAATTTGAAACAAATCTTTTAATATTTGGAGGTACTTTACATGAAGAATGTACAAATTTAGAAGTATGGCTAAAATATAATAATGAAAGCCTTCGAAATGATTCCACTGCACTTTTGTGCAAATTGGCCTTGTAATAAAACTGATGTCATTCCAAGAGGAAGCACTGAATAAAAATATAAATTTTTGGAGACACTCACGAAACAGCTAAAGAAGCATTAAAAGGAAAACTGAAACCTGAGACTAATGTTAGACAGATGACATTCATCTATTGTCCCTGGCTGATGAGAAGGAAAAGATATATCAAAGATGGTTTTCAATAAAAGATTTAGGAGACAAAAAAATGAAGTATTTGATTTCAAAAGAAGTGAAGAAGACAAAATATTTAATCTGAGTACAAAAGTGTCACAGTCTAGACAAGTGCATACAAAGTACTAAATCTAGAGACATGGGAAAAATGACGTTCATGGAAATAAAATACTAATCAAAATAACAGATCCTAATTGCTATTGAAAAATGGAAAAATTACTCCCAAAATCTTCTGACAGAAAATTGAATTTCAGAAAATAAGATTATGAATCTGCTACAACCATAAGTGGTTTTGGAAGAGGTAATATTATAAAACTTGAAAATATTAGAGTACCAGAGCTTGGAGGTACAGAGGCAGTTCCATTAGCTTCTATTAAGTTCAGATAACACTCAATAATAGAGAAACCTTCTGAGCAATTCATAGTCTCATCTTTCATTGTCGTAATGTTATAAGAGGAGTCCTGTCAAAGAATTTTGACACTGACAAACAAAAAACAATTTGTGGAATAACTTGTTAAGGGGACAAGACTATGTAGCACCAGTAGTTTTCTTTTACAATCACTAAAGGAAAGACTAATAATATGTCAATATTGACTTATCATATATTTTTGAGAAGAAAATATATTTCGGTGTCGCAAAAACCGAGTTTCTCTTTAACCTGCAAACCACAAAATTGCACTTATCATAATTTTCCTTAAGGTACATATTTCAAACCAATGCAAATAAATATGTCCAAATGATTTTTTTATGGGCTTCATATGATATTGACTTCAAATTAACTAATTCTAAAACATTATCATCTTCACTAAAATAAACTCTCATACTCAATTGCACAGGAAAAGTGATCAATCTGATGACAGAAAAAGTGATTCTATTACCTTTGACTCAAAGTAGAAAATTAACATTTTTACTCCATAGCAAATGATCAATCTCAAAAATTGTCATTTTATCAGAATATATCAGCCATATTCTGAGTAAAACCTATTATCTTTTGACTACAAAATATGTAGCTCTGTTCAGATTATAACTGTTCTCATGCAAAACAACAGTTGTCACTTTTCTTGTGAAGCACTGAAGCAATGAAGTTCAGCAAGTGTCATATTTAGCACAGCCTTCTGAATTTTTTCCCCAGTGCATTGTCTTAGGAGAAAAGAGTAAATGTTACAGTTTGAGAGAATGAGGTGGATTTCAAGGTTATATGACTGTAATTACACTTCCACATTTATTCCATTTTGCCAATCATGTCCAATAAAGCACAACGGAAACAACACAGCAAGTTAAACTACAAAATGTAATCAAAAGGCACAATCAATTATATTTTTCAATAAAACATACATTTTTGATTTCTGGCCTTTTTCTTGATGATTTCCCCTAAAAGCAACTAGCTTGCCAACTAATAAAATGGTACTGTCTTAAATTTTTCTTGGGAAAAAAAATTCACAACACAATATTAAACGTGTATTAATGTGTTTTCAAAGCTAGTCTTTCCTCTTTAATTACACATGTTAACAACCCAAGGTAATCTCAACCTCCATATCCAATAGATAAGCGCCCCTAGATTTAAAGGTTGACAATGCAAACAGTGAAATATATTGAGAAGAGAAAATAATCTGACATGAATAGACCACATTTCTCTGTGATGTGTATTTCACACAAAAGCAAACTGCATAAATATAAAGGTTACAGCATAATTTAAAGAATTCTATATTTTTCCACATATTTTCAAATTCATAAATAACTACATTACTACATTCACTTATTAATTATTCCTATTGATATTAAATAAAAGTTTTCATTGCTAATCATTAATCATTGTGTTATCATCTACACTTCAGTTTTCCAGGTGAAAATACTAGAAAATATACGATGTTATCAGCATGTATACGTGAGGGTTATCTTTACAAAACATTAGTTGTTTGTTAAAGGGTAAGAGGAGCAAGGACGAACTTGGGACCAAGCTTTCTAGTCATTTCTCTGTTCATCTTTTCTTCATTCGACGAGGGGGCCGGGTGGAATTATATTTAATAGCTTTTCACGTCCTTTCGCAATCACCCATTTGGATGAACAGTCCTTGACGAGCACAAAGGGCTCAATTGTGAAGCCTCTTTTGTCATATTGCCAGAACAGCCTGAGTATTAGACTGCCGGCGGGACAATGACACTGCTGGTTTGGCTATCATCTAACCTCATAATTTCTTCCCTTACAGCTAACAATAGCTAGGACACTAGAAAGTCTTTCTTCTATTTCATCATGAAACTTCAACAGGTTTTTGGGTCTTGTGCCTCCGGGACTTAGCACACGCGCAAGAAGATATAGTTTGACAGCTTGGATGAAGTGGCAACAACGCGTAACAATTCTGTCACATGACATTTAATTTCATGAGATCCATAACTGAATGACAAAAATACGAACGCGAAAAATTTTAACGAATCAAACACACGTACTACGGAAGTTTCCATCAACTGGTTCAATAATTCACAAACACTGTCATGGTCAATGCTGCGGCGTAGTTCTACAGGGTCACCGTTGTTTTGTCAATACACTCCTGTTTAACCTTGACAAACGCAAATCCACTCACACGCAATATTTCATAACTTGCTAATAAACACAGAACATTACCTACCGTAACTTTATCGTCGACGGATGCAGATCGTTTCTGACGACTTCCGTAAGTTGTTTCGGCGTCCGAAGCACCGGAGCTTTGTAATTCTTGTCGATCAAGGACCACGCTTCTCTTCTGACGCTTCTCCGCTGAAAGATGAAGCGTTCCCGATCGCAATCCATGTCGTTCCGCACAAATTAACGTAAAACTTAATAAAAACAGCAGTAGCAAGCTCAACTTCAGCCTCCCAGCAGGAGCCATGTTGCCCAACTGGATTCGTCGTCGTGACTGCAGCAAGGACTCGGTGGTGGGTGGCTTGCTACGCGCATGCGCACGGCAAACGTTGACGCACGCTGCACGTGATTGACAAGAACAGCGCTGCGGCCAGAGCTTGTCTTCTCCCCGATCTCACAAGGCAAAGCGGTGCTAAGGCCAGAACAAAAAAGCGGAACGTTCTGCTGGAGCAAAAACACGCTTTTAAACAGCCTCTCTATTTCATTCCGTCGTAAGGCAATTTCCGGAAACGTCGAAACGAGGGTCACACGCGGTCACACGTTGATTCATCACTTCACTCAAAAGATATGGCCATGGAAGATGTTCCACGATACGGCACTGTCGACAAAGTCGCAATTTCGGGCAAGCCAACTGAGTGCGAGAACACATAATATTTTGAATGTCCTATATTTTAATTAATTCACTCATCACTTTTACTTGTTTTAGGTAATTTTAAAAACAGGCAGTTATAACCATTCAGACTGCTAATTATAATACTGACTGGATGAACTATTAGTATGAATAAAAAAATCTTACTTCAGAGTATTAAGAAACAAAGAAAACATATGACATTCTTATTAACCATTCTTGCTGGCGTCTTAAGAAAAGAAACCGTTAATTTCAAAATTATAAATAACCCATATGCATGCATTATTATATAACCTTATACAATATTGAGTACCTATCGTGATTTGATATTCACGATTTTTTAAAATAAAAACATTGTTTTATTTTTGTGACTGCCCAGAAGGTGCGGTGCATGTAAATTCATTAAAGAGCACATCGCGATCTTACAGGAATGCAATATTATTTTGGATATTAATTGAATTTGGCTCATTTTTTTGAATTAATGTTTTTCAGTGTTCAGACCCTATTTTCTGAGAATAATTGCATCCTTTCGTGAATAAACGGCACTACGTGGAATTAGATTAAATATAAGATTCTACATCGCCGTTTAAGTTTGAGAACAAATGTAAGTATACAACCTATATAATAGGACAAATCTTACGAAAAAAATGTTGAAGAAAAGAAAACCACCAAATCACGAAACAAATGTAAGACTTAAAATCATTTACTAGGTCTAATTAACCAAACTATTAACAGTGCGAAAACATAAAAATAAAATGGAACTTCAAGCCAGTGCCGGTGCGAGGCATAGGCAGATTGGGCGATTGCTTGGGGCCCCACATGTCAAGGAGCCCGATGATGAGAACAAATTAGGAAAAAAGTGAAAAAGAAATAAGAACAAGAGAAAATCGTTATCGTAATTTTATAAGTCGAGGTACACTAAATGAACCAAATTATGCCCACAATAAAATAGGTTCTACTGAAATTCATATTTATTTTTTCGTGTAGAACAACAAGTGATTTTATTAAACACTAACTAAATACCACAATTTTTAAAATGTTTAAGCTCACCGTAGAAATTGTATTATGTTATCACTAAAAACTTCACCTTAAAACTATTATTTAAAATATATTTCCTAAAACTTTTTCTAGCTTAAACGTTGTAATTTTTTTTAAATAAAAGAAATATAATATTGAGATAACTTTCACATTTTAAATTTTTTCAGCATGGGAGGGGGGGGGCTACATTTTAGCTTTGCCCAAAATTGTCTAGTTCCGGCATTTCTTCAAGCAAATCACGTTCAAGGAGGAATGATGTGCCTAGAGAAGCTGGCAATAAGACTCTATAGTTTACATGGTTAGTAACGTACGTACTCCGGCTTATCAATCCGCAACCCACATTTGTGGGTTGGGATGTGCATGAGTCACCGACCCAAGCATCCGTAGTGTGGCGATGCCTCAGACAACTGATGATTCAATGAAAGGGTTAAAGCAAAACATTTCCTCTGTGGTTAAACGTTGCTGCTTGAGCAACAATCCCTTTTCTTTCTTTGTTTCTTTGCTTGTTCGTTCGTTTCTTTCTTTCTTTGCTTCTTTGCTTGTTCGTTCGTTTCTTTCTTTCTTTCTTTCTTTCTTTTCTTTTTTTCTTTCTTTCTTTATTATTATTATTATTATTATTATTATTATTATTATTATTTTAGTCCTTGAAATTTTGATGAGCTAAGGGTAACGTCTAAAAGGATGTATTGAATGAAGTGTGCATAATTCAAAATATCTTTCCCCAAACGTTCATTTATAGTCTATAGTAAACATAAGACGAGGGCCTCGCAGAGAAGTCCAGGATCCTGGGTCAGTTGATCCAAGGAGGCTCCTTATTTCAAACAAAAAAATATCCCCTCCCTCCTCCCCAATTCATAAACAGAATTTCTCTATGCATCAGAAATAACTTGTAGCGTTCAATTTGGATTAGAGTTGAATATATTTTTCTTTTCTTTTGAATGAAAAAAATCGATGTATAATTAAGTCAGGACCTGGGACAAGTTGCCACAGCTACCCTCCTCCCGTTCTGGACGCCCCTGCGCAATCTATTTTGGCTTACAAAGTTTATTATATTTATCTCATAAATTTTTGAGAAATTTGATTAAGACGATTGAATTAAAATTCAGATTCTAACTAAGCACCGAACAGCTTGTAACAGCAACCACAACTTAAGAACAGGTTGTACTTTGAATAATTTGTCGTTAATAATTATTATTCTCAACTTAAGTTACCGACAAAGAGAAATATTGTTACAATTAAATATTAATGATAATGATGATGAAGATGACATAAGCTTATTGAATCCTTAAAAGGGCAGGGGCCTCCTGTCAGAACACAGGAATGGTTTTTCATATATCTTTAGATGAACTAGTCCTTCAGAGATATAATTACATATTACTCAACTCAAATGGATGAAACCTATTCAATGTAAACCTAAGATGATTCTTTCGAATGATCTTAGGTTTACATTGAATAGGTTTCATCCATTTGAGTTGAGTAATATGTAATTATATCTCTGAAGGACTAGTTCATATTTCGAATGAGCAATAGATAAAAGCATTGAAAATAACTATTTGAACCCTAGAATATTACCTGGAGCAGGGGAATCAATATTATAATCCGGAGACTCCGAGTTCAATTACCGACTGAGTGGCTCAGGATATCACTTGATGTCACAATGTCAGAGAGGTCCTAGAGTTTCTTATGGAGTTCTAACAGTGGCAGATTTTCGCCGTAGTTAGATATCTACGAAGATCGGGTTCAGCCGATGTCAGCCGATGTCTGAGGAGAATTCAATTGACCGACAACTCAGATCACTAGTTTCTCCGATCAACACCAGGCGAATGCTGAAGCGGTACTCTAACAAACGAAGGAATATCTTTCCCTTCACTTCCCAGATCTATCCTCACCCCTTATTTGTACACACTTATACTTACATGCACTACACTAATAACACACGTCGGGAGATCAATAGAGAATTTAAGGCGTGTTCGAGCTGGGGCGGTGCCTCGCTTGTAAGAGACACCTGGAGGGGTAAGAAAGTCGGCGCGGGATCTAACTAGCAGGGAAAGAACACCGCCACCTCCCGTGTTACAAACTGCACTACACTTACGGAACTAATGACCATAGTCGTTGACGTGACGTGCCCGGTAACACTCAACCACGTAAAATCACCTTAACCTAAATTCTGCGTTTATTTCACAACAGAGAAGACACACCTTTCGAGTGTTTGATTCAGTGATTCCGGGCGCGTCAACTACTGAGGTAATTAGTCCCGAAAGTGTAGTGCATGTTTTATAGTAGGAGAGTGGCTTACGCTCTCGTCTTGGAGTGAGGTTCGGCCGATCTACCGTCGGCTAGTGTGTCCCCCCCCCCCCGCCAATCAGGTATCTCCTGCCAGCGTGGTACTGACCCAGGTGAGACGAGCTCCACGTGTATGCTCCCGACTGTTCACCCGACATGTGTGGTAGTATCGTGTCTGTGAGGATGTGTGGAAGTAAGGAGTGAATTTATGACAATGAATAGGAAGAAAAGGTCGCACACCGTCCGTGGGCCGTTTGTTAGGGTACTGCTCCGGCATTCGCCTGGTGTTGATCGGAGAAACTTCCTATCAGAGCCGTCGTCTCGTCGGATTCTCTTCCAAACAGCGAGTCAATTCGACCTTGCAATGGAGCTAGGCCGAAAGTACTGGCACCGCCGGGATTCGAACCCTAGGATTTCCCGGTCAGAGGCACTACAGTGACATCAATGGACGACCTGAGTCGGTGCGACTCAGAGGCAAAACCAGAAATGCAATGCAGTGAAACGCAGTGGTATTGCCAACACGATATTCGTGAAAGCAGGAGGCTATTTACAAAACGTACCATTAATAGGCGGGCGAAGTGATGTAACAAGATTGTAATATGATTTGAAGTCAATTGCGCGATTTAGTAGAAGCTCAGAGGTAGAACTAGGAGTGCCTTAATACGCAATGTTACCGGCAACGCAATCTTCATTGAAGGAGGAAGGTGTTCACAATATTTACTATTAATACACGAGGCTATCCTTCGATTTTTCTTTGAAGGCCGTTGACATCAGGATTTGTTGCACCTCCTGCCTCATAAAATGAATATTTTCAATAGCGGCAAACACGTTTCTGAGGCCATGAGCCCCGTTGAGAATGACATTCGCGAATTAATTAAAATATTCATTTTATAAGGTATAACAATGACCTAATGACATCGGACACTATTGAAAAATCGAAATATAGTGAGGTGACAAGGTTGTGACGTATTCTGCAACCACTGCGCGGCCATGTGGACGTTCAGACCCCGAACTAAAAGTTGCCTCGTGCGCTGTTTTACCGGCAACGCTATCATTGTGGAAGGAGGCTACATACAAAACGATAAGACGATAAAAAGTTCCCTAGAATCAACTAACATGTGAGCAGTTAAACTCCGACTAGAACTTAGAAATAATATATTTGGAAGGTTTCTTAGCCCCTCTCCCACCAACCCCACATCTCTAAGGCCAGATACGATTTAAAAAAATCGAATAACTATCTCTATAACTATCTCTATCTCTGTAACTATCTCTCTAATCGATCACGCCATTCATCGGGGAAGCTCAGCGCTACATACTGCGATAAAACATGCAC